GTCACCTGGTCCAGCCCTAACTATATGCTTTAGCAAAAAGGAAAGTTTGAAGCCTAATCTTAAAAGTAGTGAAGTACTGAAATGTGGAACGAAGCTGGCAAGAGACACATGAAGTGAAATCATTGTAACCAAGTTGTTGACAATGTCCATGTGCGAATATATTAAGAGTGAGCTTTGCATTCATCTCGAATCATTTGATTGGTTTGCAGCTAGTTCAACAACTACAGCAAATATAGGAAATAAACGTTGTTGAAGCAGCCAGTTAGGAGGAAATGCATCCAAATTGACAACGCTTTGCTGTCAGCTTCCTTCATGTTGTGTTGGATTGCAACCAGTGCACTTCTGCTAACATGTGGTGTAGTAAACGCACAGCATTGAACGTAACAGATTGGCCTGATGTAACTAATACCCGAGCTAGATTTTTATTATTTTTTTAATCCAGATCAGACCAGTATCCAATCCAGACATCGCATGAAACAATCCAGCACGGTGAATGGATTTGCTTGTTTTGTGTTTCCAGGATGTGGCTGAAGCTGAAGGACCAGTTGTAGAGAAGATCATGGGCCTGCGCACCTCCAAAAAACAAGTGAGCTGCACAGATCCACACCCTAATGACACTAACACAATACACAGATCCACAGGGTGGCCAGAGTCGTGGTTTGCATCATGTGATTAGCCTTCCCACAGTTGACACAAGCACATTACACATACATACGTTGCTTATGCAGCATGTTTTCACTTGGAAAGCAGATTCCTTATATTTCAGCATGTGTATGCTCTGAGCTCTGCGTGCGCCTGCGATCGACCGTGTGTAGGTGTCGGCCCTGCTTTGTTTTCTACGCCTTGTCTAAAGAGAGATCATCCCTGAGCCAACACAGGCGCACACACACAATCGCCAGCCAACTCTCCTTTGCTAGCCAGCTGCCAATGGGTTATCCCCCCCACCCCCTCGCCCACCACCACAACACACTCCCGTGCACAAGCACACTCACACCACTCTTTTTCTCTTGTAGCTCTGTTCAGAGTTGACCTCGGGCTTGGCACACAGCCAAAACCGCGATACTAGCTACACCAGACGCCAAACTAGCGTTTCCTCAGGCAGGGTGTGTGTGTGTGTGATTGATGATTCATGGCATTACAGTAGTAGTAGCATGGTAGAGGGTGTGTGTGCAGTAGTAATGGTGAATGAAAGTGGACAGCCTTGCTTGAAAGAGCTACTGTTTTGGTATTTCCCCTTTTTACGCATTTATGAAACAAAATGCTCAGTCACACAGATTTTAGCAGTTGAATGTGTTCAAGTGCTTCCTGTTAAAACCCATTAAAACTTCTTCAACAGCCTTTTGATCAGCATGTTGTAGCCGAAATGTTAAATAGGTGCAAGGCTGCTTACACATTACATGAAGGGCACTGCTTTCTCTCAGTTTGAGACAGTTTACTGTTGAATGACGTGTCAGAGTGAAACTCACGTGCAGGCTCCTTCACTACTTCCACCACATGTTGTATAATAACGTTGAGCCACTTCTGCAGCTGCTGTATTTGCTGTGATTATGATCCCTTTTTTGTATTGTTTTTCTTTTCAGCGGGAGTCGGGGGAGGAAGTGGAGGTGGAGGAGTTCTACGTCAAGTTCAAGGGCTTGTGAGTAGTAGCTCAGCTTTTTTT